CTCAGCCACCAGGGTGCTCATCAGGATGGCATGGTAGTATCTCAGTCAACATTAATGAGGACGAATTCCCTTGGGTTGATTTTGAATTTTTTTCTGCACATGATCAGTAGCAGTGCAATGGCGCTGTCGGGTACGTTGGGCAGGGCAAATGAGTCTGGCTGAGGTCCAGGATTTTAGCCACTGCAGATCCAGCGAGCGCATAGAGAGAATAGGCCGCAGACAAAACAAGTTACCTGTGGTACCAACATATTTGAGTCTTTACTCGGATCACATGAACATATGTAGCACGGACAGGTTGCTCTTGAATCTATGCAATGCACTGCGCGACTTCACGGTTGGCCTCTCATCACATCTGGCTCCTTGTTGCACGGAAGACCATGAGATGCTTCGCAATGGGGAAGGTTGTACATTCATTTATGGTATATTTTTGTTATAACATTACTTGGTCGCCTCCAGGAGATCGTATGTTACGGTGTGGCATCGGCGACACTTTATACAAGTACATTAGATGGAAAGGCGGGAAGAACCACGACGCCACAACAACTGGAAAGATTGTCTGCTGTACGAAAGTATCAAGTCAGTATGATGAAGACAAGGCACCAAACGCTTCATTACTTAGCACAGTATCTTTAGATCGGAATTACGCATTGAGTATGAGAGTAGGGAGTATGCCGCTGCCCCTGTTCCGCGAGCCATGACGGCCGGTGAGACGCACCATGTTTTTGCTGGTGGGGACGCAGGCACCCCGCATGATGTGCAGATATGTGTAACACACCAAGCCAGATATTTTGCAAACCTTCCATCTCGTAAGAGGTCGACTCCTTCATCTCATGCCGACAGCGTCCTGCACTGGAGGCAAATGGCGTGAGTAACATTTGAACTCACGCGCCACGACCATGTATTGCAACACACAACGCGACCCCTTGGCCAACCACTTTTTGCTACTGCTAACACCCCTCCGTCTCACAGCCGCACACATTGGGGTCGATGGGCATTATGGCGACATTGGGGCACTGCGGCCTCATCTGACCTTGTGAGTATGTTTGTAGTGTTGGTTTGTGAGCTTCCGTGCTGCATCTGGTAGAGGGATGGCGCTGTTGGCAATAGCCCATCCAGTGAACGGCGCTTTGGCAGCTCTCCTTTTTGCATGTCATCTTGGAGATTGCGAGCCCGGAGCTCCTGGTGGGGGCCGGAAGGTTCACTGTCGAGAGTGACGACATCCAACGGGGCATCATGGTTTGCAATATACTCACCAGTAAGGTCGTCAACAGCGTAAGAGCTGCAAGCCCGAACTGCACGTTGTTGGTGCCAGGAGGATGTCAAGATTGTGCGCAGCCAGACACTTCTCCAAACCCCATGGTGTCTCCGATGTATGACCAGGATCTGCAGCTCGCTCGCGGTTGTTGAAGTCCTTGCTGGACAGTATCTCGTATCTCATGACGCCCAGTTGGAAGATGTCCCTCTTCAGTGTCACCTTCTCATCTCCTTCCACAAGTTCTGGGCTCGCATACTTACAATTGACACTTCACAAGGAGAGCAGCCAAAGTAGCATGCATTGGGTGAGAGGCTCGCCGAACAGGGCTCAACCCCGACCAGATGCAGCACGGAACTCACATTAACAACACAGAAAACATACGCACCTTGTCAAAGAAGGTGCAATTCTCCCATGTCGAATCGGTGCCATCGGTCCCGACGGGTGCAGCTGCGAATCGGAATACTGTCGAGCCTTGTGTGCACGGTGAAGGTATGATTGTATGTTTCGCACTTGTCATTATAGTTGCGGGGGCAGGTCGCAAGGAGCCCCTGTGAAGCGGGCTGCTGCCCCGAAGCCTGATCTTGGTGAGATGCATCGAGAGTCCAGACTCTCGCGGGTGTCGGATCCAGCGGATTGATGTGCCCTGGTCGGCGCAGGGTGCAAAAGGCAGTGCAAAGGGAGGGGGAACAGAGTGACGGGATGGGATGAGGCATCTGAATATCTCCTTGTTTGGCGGAGGGGAGGAGGCAGCCACATACATGTCGGCCGCAGACTGTCGAGTGCCAAGAGCTCCGAGTCAAGCGACCCGCCATGTGCACTGACCTCTTTGGATGCTGGGAGTACCCTTACTGCAGGATCTTGGACCTTTCATGGCAGCATCTGCCTGCTGTGATGTGGGGACACAGCTCTCCGTACAGCTGGGAATGAGGTCCCGATTTTGCAGCCGAGCTTCATTCTCTCACTCTGTACAGAATCCACCAAGGTGACACAGCACTGATGGGCTAGGTGGCGCTGAGCATTGGGCAGTGCTGTATTAGGCTGGATGGCACCTCGAGTGGCGTGATGAGCACTCGGTGTTAAGGGGCCTGCCTACTCCACGCAGTGTGGACGGGTGGGATTTTGACCTCAGCCATGCAGAGAAGTTCTGGCCGTCATCAGTATAGTGTACTCATGTCAAGGCTGAGTATTGAGATCTACCCGCACCAAGTAGAAAAGTCAGCAAAAGCCATGGACTTGTACACAGCCGCTCGGCACAATCACGACCCATACAGTGTTCTTCCCACGTATCAAATCCCAGTGCCATTCATCGGACATCCAAACTCATGGTCTTCAGATCAACCTTCGAAGCTACATGCATACCAACCAACCACTCCGGAAGCCACCCGACCCGGGGGTCGGGAAGGCGCGCGAACACGTCAAATGGGATCGGGCAGGCCGACGTCGTCCGGAAGGCATCATTCACTGATATACAGCGTGGACATAGGGTGCTGGGACCACCGATCTGACAAGGGAAGGCCTCACTTTTGGACCTTCGAGCGCACGTCGCCTCCAGCGTCTGCCCAGTTACCCAGCTTCCCACCCTCGTGCCGAGACCTACCCGCTCACCTGCTGGATCGCATGGGCAGTGGACAGTCCATAGAACAGAGGATAGAAACCTTTGCCAAGAAGAATGATCACTTTGGGCTCCAGGTGCGACCTCCGTCGGCCCGCTCATGAGTGTG